TGTAAACCGCTTAGAGAGGCCTGAAAGGCCTATGAAGCGGTATATAAGTCTACTGCTATTGCTATTGCTATTAGAAACAATCTCCTAAGTCAAAAGAAAAAAAAAACATGATACATGTTGCTTCTCTGTAAATCTTTTACAACTGTATTGGAGTACACAATCGCCCTATTAATTGACTATTAAGGATGAGAGGTAGGGGTTGGGGTATTTTTTGGCTTGGCTTATCCACCCCATTATGACTTTATTGATCCAGCTCCTGCTTACTATGCAGCTGGAACATCTGATTATTTTCAAAACAAATCTTCCCATTTAAAGAAGACTTTGCTTCCAAACTTCCACATGCAACAGGTAGAAGGATATGAGTCCAGGCAACTGGAATATATTGTAATACAAGAGACACAGTAGCAACCATACAGCCATTTCCTATTAAGATCAGATGAATTACTGAATGTCCAAGCAAGGTTTGGACACTGTTTCCACACTGTTTTGTATTCCTGTTGATTACAACACTTACCCATAATTAAAGTAAGAAAGATCTACCTGTTCAGGAAGATGGAGGATGGTGTATTCTTCAGGATGAAATTCAGAGAGAGATTTATATGCAGAGATAGCTACAAGAGAATCCTAAAGAAAAATATTGCCATCACATCATTGCAAATAAGGATGGATAAGGAAAAATACTGTATTGATCTATTATGTTAAATGCATCATTGATTTCCCAAGTAGAGAATGTAGGACAAGTTCTAAATTGTCTTGAACCTTGTGGTTAAAAGCAAATAGTGTGTGCTAAAAATCACACCTCCCAAACTTACTGAGCAAAAGAAACCTTTTTTTTTTACTGTACATAAGTTGTATTATTCTGCAATAGTTAGATTATAGTAGGGCTTTGGGGTAAACATCTGAGATATTACTTAATGGTAAGATCAAAACTTTCAAAATAAAAATTGACTGTCTTATATTTTGAACCTTCTGACTGTTAAATGTTTTAGAAATAAAGAATGGTGACTTGCCCAAAGCAACACACAGTTCATTTACTATGACTGTATTGTGGTCTTGATGAAATTTGTGGATTTTTATGGAAAATTATCAATATCATTGACCAATCATAACTAGGCAATAAAGAATTAAGAAGGTATGCAGTAGTTGTAGAAAAAAAGATTGCCTTTTTTAATAACATGTCATAATCATGATTATGTGACACATAATTGGACAGAGAAACTAGATGCTTAATGCAACACCAGAAAATATTTAAATAAGCCTAGTACCTGGCCAAAGTCAGTTCATTTTCTAGTATCTCACCTTGCTTTGTGTGTGGCTCCATAGGAAACTGACAACTTGAGCTTTAAACTTCTATAACGTCAAATGTAGGAGAGAGAACAAAATCCAACTTATAAAGATTCTTTTTATTAAGGAAACATGATAGAAAATTGAGGTAAATAACACACTGTAAAATAAACCAAGACAGGCATTTATGGATTAGCATTTTATTTGAGGCAGTGACAAGGGAAAAATATTTCTTTGCGGCCACTGGAGTTTAATTTAAAATAACAAGAAAGGTTTTTGCAATTTAGCTGGCTCCAAAATGAAGACTAATAGTCCTTATTACACTTACTGAGAAAATTTCAAAGGTCAAAAATTATATTCAAGATCCCATATTCAATGATGTATAATAAAAATGCAAAGTACTACTTGAGGTTGAGGGGGAGGGTTGACCTTTAAGTACCCTTAAAGAGGCAATTCACAAAACGTTTTCAATGTTACAATCTCAACCATGTAAACAGATTTAAATGCTTTTAGAAGCATAGACGTTACCTATTAAAACATTCTGCTCAGTCTTTCGTTGACAGAATAATTATATTAAATATATGCAACTGCATTTGCAATATGAACACCAGATACAGCCAAATGACCCTAAGAGAGCCATCTTTCTGCTCATTAGAGCAAACTGTGTGTATGTGGTGAGGGGGGGTAGGGAAAACATAGCACTAGAATTTACTCAATATTTAACTGGATTTTACCAAATTCTTTGGAAAATATATCTATGGAGTAATATAAGACACAAATCCCCAACCTTTTTGGGTCTGCGGACTGGTGGCAGCGGCTTCAATGGTAGAGGAAAATGGGTTAGGGTTTCACAGTGCAACCTAAACCCTGTGCATACACAAATGAAGCTTCGCATGCTTGCCTGCTACTTCAACAGCCTAGTTCAAAACGGCACAGCCTAATAGTGAACCACAGCCCAGGATTTGGGCATCCTTGATATAAGAGACTGCACTGTAAAGTAGCTGATTATATCCTTTTATCAAAGATCCCAATGATCTTCAATACAAGGATATAATCATCCTATTTACTCGCTTTCAGATAATTTATTTCCATCAGGACAAAACAAAACAAATTGCAGTCTAATATTATACAGGTAGTCCTCAATTTACAACCATTCATTTAGTGACTGTTCAAGCATCCTAATTTTGATGATTTGCAATGGCACTGGAATAAGCGTTTTTCACACCTATGAACGTTGCAGCATCCCCATGGTCAAATAATCAAAATTAGGATGCTTGGCAATTGGAGTGTAGTTAGGATGGATGCAAGGTCCTGGGATCACACAGTCACATTTTGCAACCTTCTGACAAGCATAGGAAATGGGGAAAACAGTTTCATTTAATAACCAGGTTACTAATTTAACAACTGCAGTGATTCACTTAATAACTGTAGCAAGAAAGATTGTAAAATGGTGAAAAAGTTATTTAACGGTCTTGTTTAGGAACATACATTTTGAGCTCAATTGTGGTTGCAAGTTGAGGAGTACCTGTATAGCTGTAATATACCAAAAATATATCAAGCAATTATCTGTATGTAGCTTAAGTGTATGTTCATAGAGTAGGAAAACTACCCTGATTTTATAATGGCTAATTCAATTAAAATATCTGCCTATAAGACAGCTGTTATTAAAAAGTCAAATTTTGTATAGGCATCTAAAATGGAATGTATTTTTCATAACTCTTCCACATTAGATTGGCATTTTATGAAATAAATTGAATACCTAACTGCCACTGTTACAAGATTTGATTCGATTGTTCATTGCTCATTTACTTTTAAAAAAAAATGTAGGCTGGAAAAATGCAGAAAAGTACCACCCCAATGATTACAGTGTTGTACAAACTCTGCAATACCAAAAGGTTAAATTATTTGGAGGTTTTCACCTCAAGGAAATAGCATGCTTAGTGGAATGAACATTTGGGATCTGTTAGACATTTAACAGTTAAATTCGTACAGAATACAGTTATCCACCTAGCTATTTGTAGATTATTTATAAAATGTAGTATGCTTCTGAATACTAGTTGCTAGGCAACATAAGGAGAAAGTGCTAATACATTCATATTGCGCCTATGGAAGTATAGAGGATGGCTTCTTTAGAATAGAATGCTGAGCTAGATAAGCTTTTGGTCTAATCTGGAGAAGGCTTATTTACTTGTGGCAAACAAAACTATTTAAAATTAAAGTAATTTTCAAGTTGTTATAGAGATGGTTCCAGCCAATGAGAAAACTAAGGGCAAATTTCTATTTAGATTGATTCTTCCTGAATACGATTCCTTTTCCATAAGTTATTAAGAAATCCTCAATAATTCCATGAAAGCGCCAGACTTTCAATTTTAACAAAATGATCATAAAAACCTTCAGCTCTTCAGTCCATTCTAGTTTTAATCGCTACTCAGCCATGAAATATAGGTTGTCCTTGACTTGCAATTTGTTTGTTTAGTGACCGAAGTTACAATGCCACTGAAAAAGTGTTCCTACAACCATTTTTCAACTTATGACCGTTGCAGCATCCCCATGGTCATGTGATCAAAATTTAGACACTTGGCAACTGACTTATATTTATGACAGTTCCACTGTCCTAGGGTCCTGTGATCCCCTTTTGCGACCTTCTGACAAGCAAAGTCAATGCGGAAGCCAGATTAAGTTAACTGTGTTATTAATTTAGCAACTGCAGTGGTTCACTTAATACCTGTAGCAAAAACTGTCATAAAAAGAGCGCAAAACTCACTTAAGAACTGTCTCACTTAGCAACAGAAATTTCAGGCTCAATTGTGGTTGTAAGTCGAGGGTACCTCTAAACATTAGTTCTGGCCCCGAGTAGTTCTATGATTGGTCTGAACTTCTCAAATCTCCAATGTATTTAATGCATCTTACTTAGAAGTAAAGATAAAATCTCCTTTAGAGTACTGGCAACAAAAAAATGGCTTGCCACTGCTGTCTGTTGGAATATTTTTCAATTTCTTAAACTTACCTATGTCTAGCGAATTCAAAGTGCTCTGCTATCCAAATACTAATGAGGTCCAATCCTGCTTAGCTTTTTTGAAGAACACCAAGGTTGATTGTTATCTGCTAATCTATAAAAATAACAATTCTTCAAAAGTTGAAGGAAAAATAGCAAAGGAAATCTGGCTCTACTGCTTTCCAATAATGCCATTAGAACATTGCCTTGACTCTGCAGTTCAATTGCCTTCACTTATGTTCATAAACAATCTTCAAGGAAGTATTAACTTGATTGCCTTATTTAAAATTACGGATTTAAAAAAAAGTAAATCAGTATGAGACACATACCTCATATTCACTCGAATTTACCATTAACGAAGGGACAAGAGAGAACAGTTCATTGAGTGTTTTTAAAATAAATGGCCGGGTATCACAGTTCAGTTTTGGTGAGAGTGCATTCCATGTAGAACGAATGCAAACAACCTAGAATAGAGAAACAAAGGCTGCTTTAAGCATGGCAGAGGCTCTGTGTGTGTGTGTTTAAAATATGTTTAACGATATATGATATATGGATTAGAAATAGCACTTACAAATTGCATTTTGTAGGCACTCCGGATGTGCCATGTTTCAGATAGAAACTTAATTATTATTAAGCAACTAAAATTTAACCAAAATTAAGTCCATTTTATACTGTTGATATTTACCATGGATATAATAAACGTATTAATGAAATCCAGATCTTGATAGCTTCAACAGACTGACTATACCCAATGCCTTAGGATTGAAAAGTATAATTAACATGCATATATACCATCATAAAATTCCCTTTTGCTTTAAGCAACATTATGTAAAACACAGAATGGGAATAAGAATAGTAAGCAAAAGAAATTAAAGATATGACATAAGAAAAATGAACACAGTCGGAACTAGTTTATATCAACAACACACACTACATACTGTGTACCAAAAAAAAGACACCAGGTCTTATTTTCAGAGGATGTTTAATTACTGACTCACCTCGAGGCGGTGGCACTGACAGCCCCGCCCAGCAGGAGCCTGTTGCTGGCCCACTTCTCCTGCAACTGCTTGTTATCAGCTGCAAAGGGCTTTCCAGAAGGCCTCTGCAGCTGATAACAGATTGATTTGGAGCTCTGTTATTGGCTGCATGACAACAAAATGGAGGCCAGGGGCGATGTATGCGAGTGGTGGCAAACAGCCGTAAAAATGAGCCTGCAAGATGAGGCAGATGTTGGGGTGTACGAGGCCTGGTAAGTAGGACAGCTCCACCACCACCCCATTCCTACCCTAGCTTAATTTTTACTTGTGTGCCTCACATCATTTGGTGCACCTTAGTGGACAGGGTCTTAACTAGGGCTTATTTTGGGGGTAGGATTTATATTGGGCTCATGTGTAAAAATCAAGCTAGGACTTACTTTTGGGGTAGGTCATCTTTTCAATACTTTTCATACTTTTTTGACCTTGTAAATTACATTCTTCCTTCCAGCATGTCCATAGACTGTCACAAACATTGCCTTTGCTTTATTAAAATTCTCATCTCTCTCTTTTCCAGGATCTCATCAACTACCAAAAGTGCCCAGTTTCCCCCTACTCTCAATCCATTCATCCTATTTTCATTTTTGTTTCACAATTTGATCCTCAATACCGGTTCTGTGGGCTTGGTGGGCATGGCAGGGGAAGGATACTATAAAATCTCTACTTCTACCTCACTCCAGGGGAAGGATACTGCAAAATCCCATTCCCTCCTGATCAGCTGGAACTCGGGAGGCAGAGAATAGATGGGGGCAGGGCCAGTCAGAGGTGGTATTTGCCAGTTCTCCAAACTACTCAAATTTTCCTTTACCGGTTCTCCAGAACTGGTCAGAACCTGCTGAATACCACCTCTGATTCAGGCCCCATTCTTGACTGTACTTGTTTTCCACATTAAATATCTCTCTCCTATTGAATTGAATGTTCTGTTTGTTTCTCCTGATATACAGTATAACTGTCACTCTCATATAACTCCTATATAACAAAATGAGTAAACTGGTCAGAACATGTTGTTATGCATAGTTTTGCTTCTTTTGATAATCATATATATGTTCCATTAACTCCACATTGTGGCACACAGTAAAATCATTATTTTATATATTCCAGGCATAAAACCTCCATATGTCAAGTTTCCATTCACACTATTAGATTAATCCAGTTTATAATGCTTTTTTAAACAAGACTTTTTCCCCACTTTCTGAAGTTGTTATGCTTTTAGTTTCTTTCAAATCTGACTACCTTTATTAATCTGTTAGTTCTTTCTCTTTCATTTTCCTTCTTTCCTTCCCTCCTTCCCTTTCTTTTTTCTTATAGTGTTCTGTTTTGATTTGTTCCTCTTACATTCTAATATGCCATGGTCATCATAGGTAAGCCCACAGATACTGACATATCCTTTGCTCCTCATATCTGTGAGGCCAAAGTTAGAAAGGTGTAGACAAGGTGAACAGTTTTAGCCACACCTATGGCACATGCAGTATTCCTTGCTAATGGTAAATGCAATACAAGTCTCTTCAATACATTTTGGCCAGCATGCCATATGCACAAACAAAATCTACTTTTTTTCAGGCACGTTCATGTCATTCTATGGGTATATAATACAGTGATTGCCCTGCAAAATAATATAGTATTGCCTAAATTCCAATAATTAGAAGGGATAAGCAATGTAGAAATATACATATAGAGGGCCTATTTTAAAAAATCTCAAATAATTACACAAATTTGTTGTATTTATTCATAGCTAGAAATTAGCCCTTGCAGGATCACTAGAGTGAAAAATACTTTGTGTTAATAGGATAAGAAAAGATCCATCAATAAAATAGGAAAATCTGACTCATATATAAAATCAATTTTGGTGAAACACATAGTTTTTTATAGTTGGAAATAACAATTTACCATTAAAAGGACATCAATTTGAAAAAGTTAAGAGTAAGAACTACAATTCATTAACATTCCCTTAACATACAATAATATTAACAGTAAAAAGGTGAATCATGGTTGAAACTGTTTTCATCGGACATATTATCAAAACTGAAATTTGTTTTGGCAAAAATCTCTGAACAAAGTGAGCACCATCTGTCAATGCAGGTAAGGTTCTAAAGAAGCAGTCTTAGTAGAACTCAAAGATTTGAATAAATATAGCCCTAATTAAAAAAGCCTATAAATTATAGAGGTATGCTAATATGTTGTCCCCATTTGTGCATAAATCAATGGAACTGAACATTCACTCATGGCAAAATTTATTACCTTTAGGCAATCTAATTGTATTCATTACTAATTATCTGACCATTATTGACCCAGGACAAGCTACTACAATAAAAGTTGCTTCTGCTTCAACATTTTACCATCTCAGAATCCCCTATGGAATTTTCAGCCTTTAAATCCATACACTTTCAAAACTCTATATTTTGATATAAAAGATTTTTAAAAAAGAAATATGCTACCATTTTATGACAGCGATTTTTGAGTCTAACAAAACTGTAACTTGTGTCCATGCATGAGCCTACTTGCTTCAAAATTATAGCTTAATAAGTCAATGCTGAAGCAGTTTGTTTTCTAGATGAGCCCCCAGAGAGCTATATGAATGAAATTCAAGAAAAGCAATAATTTAGAGAGGTGTAATGCACATCTAGACTAGGCGATGTATTACTAGATGTCAAGGTGGTATTAATACCATTTATTAAGTCAACTGATTTTTAAACACAGAAATGTAAGCTCTAGTCAGTAAACACAACAACATATATCCATCTACTGCCCAATAGAATTTTATTACATGGTCATGACTGAAAAAGCCATCAAGCAAATTATTAATATGCAATCTTGGGAACAATAGAGTTTTTTAACATCTACATGAAGCCGCTGGGAGAGATCATCCGACGGCACGGGATAAAATACCACCAGTATGCGGACGATACTCAATTGTATCTGTCCGCCCCGTGCCAGCTCAGTGAAGCAGTTGACGTGATGTGTCAGTGCCTGGAGGATGTGAGGGTCTGGATGGGGGTTAACAAGCTGGCTCTCAATCCTGACAAGACCAAGTGGTTTGTGTTTTTTCCTCCCACAAATTGGCAAGGTATTCCATCTCTCAGGCTGGGGGGTGAAATTATACACCCCTCAGACAGGGTTCGCAATTTGGGAGTCCTCCTGGACCCACAGCTGACCTTAGATCACCATCTGTCGGCTGTGACCAGGGGGGCATTTGCCCAGGTTTGCCTGGTGCATCAATTGCGGCCTTACCTGAACCGGGAGGATCTTACAACAGTCACTCACGCCCTTGTGACCTCAGAACTGGACTACTGCAATGCGCTCTACATGGGGCAGCCCTTGAAAAGTGTTCGGAGACCTCAGCTGGTCCAGAATGCAGCCACGCGAGCGATTGTGGGTGCACCTCGGTACACCCACGTTACACCTATCCTCCGCGAGCTGCACTGCCTGCCTATTGGTCTCCGGATACGCTTCAAGGTGCTAGTCATCACTTATAAAACCCTACATGGTATTGGACCTGGGTACTTGAGAGACCGCCTCCTGCCAATTGCCTCCCATAGACCCATTAGATCCCACAGATTAGGCCTCCTCCGAATTCCATCTGCCGGCCAATGCCGGCTGTCGACTACCTGGAGGAGGGCTTCTCTGTGGCTGCTCCGGCCCTTTGGAACGAGCTCCCTGTGGAGATTCGGACCCTCACCACCCTTCAGGCCTTCCGGACAGCCGCTAAGACCTGGCTGTCCCAGCAAGCCTGTGGTTGAGTTCCCCCCACCCTACTCGAACTGTTGTGCTTGCTGTGTTTTTTAAGTTGTTGTATTGCTGTCCTGTTTGTCTTACTTTTTTCTATTTGTTCCCCTTCCCTTGGTTTTTGTTCAGCCGCCCTGAGTCCCCTCGGGGAATAGGGCGGCCTACAAATCGAATAAATACCAAATACCAATACCAATACCAAATGCATCATAGCAGCATCAGCTGAGAGCCAGTTCTCTTTAGTTGCTAGATGCTAGCCTAAAAAGCAGGACATTGTGAATTTTACACCTTTCATACGCATGAAAGCTAGCTGGATGACTTTGGACTTGTTTCTCTCTCTCAATCCAACCTACCTCACAGGCTTGTTGTTGAGAAAAAAGAGGCAAGAATATTATGTTCACTGCTTTGACTTATACATGTAAAAAAGGCAGGATAAAAATCTAATAATAATAAAACTGTAAATATTAACATTTTTTCCACAAAAAATTATTCCATGCTCCAATTCCTGAAATTTTCAAGAGACACTAGTTTCCTAAGATGTCTAACATATCCTTTATTCTTCAGGCCACTTGGAAATATATTAAGTAAGATCATAACTTAAAAGAAATAGATCAAGCAACCAATAATTTACTTTTTGGGACATTTAAGCTGCTTTCTCCTTTAGTTTTCCCCACAAGGCATTCTCCAAAGCTGCCCCCCCCCCCAAA